ACGGAAAAATGAAATTGCCTCGGAGTTGTGATTCTGAAAAATAGAGGAATGTTGTATTTACATCAATGTGCAAACATACTGGTCCAGTTCGCAAACAAATTTAGTGGACACAAAAAAAAACCGATTGAAGTCACAAATGATAGCAGTCAGTCGCACATAAGGTTCATGGACCCAATCAGTAGCGTAATATATTGCAATTATATTCTCACTGTGTGCAAAAAAAACTATCCCAATGCTTTTGAATCGCGCAATGGAACCCGGATTTCGAACGCAAAATAACTGAAGTTGATTCCCAAGCCCATTAGAAATAGAAAAACCGTTGAAAATTATGCAATTTTTAGCTCAAATGATTTTGACGATGAAATTCATCTCAAGAATAAAGCTTTGAGACATAGCCAGTTATCACATTTTATAAAACAAGGTAGAAAGACAAAAACAGGAAGAGAAGTCTTCCTGGGACAGAACAGAGAATACGCTCATGATGGATTGCGTCTTTTTTGGTTAAAATTTTTAACTTACAGCTTGTACTGTTTTCCTTGATTTGCAGAAAAAGAAACGCAGACTCCAATAACAGTATTGGAGAAAAACTAGGAAAATTGCAATCACTATGCTAACAGTTTTTTCTAGGATTGCTTTTACGTTTGTTTTAGTTTTTCGCACTAGACGTAAAATTTTAGTACTTATTCTGGAAAAGCACAAATTCAATGTAGAAGATATTGTATTTTGTTTGGCATTTTTGTTCAACGGAAAAAGGAATCGCCTCGGAGTTGTGATTCTGAAAAAAAACTATGTTTTACGTACATCATAGTGCCATCATACTGGTCAAATTCGAAAACCAGTTTATTGGTCAGTACAAGTACCGGTTGAAGTCGCAAATGTTAGCAGTCAGTCACATATAAAGTTTATGGACCGAATCAGTACCGTAACCTATTGCAACTATATTCTCACCTTGTGCAAAAAGGTCTATCTCAAGGCTTTTGAATCAGGTAATGTATCCTGGGTTTCATACGCAAATCAACTGAAGTTGAATCCCAATCCCAAAAGAGTTCGAGAAACCGAGGAAAAAATTCTGCAAATTATAGCTCAAATGATTTTGCCGATGAAATTCAACTCAAGATTAAAGTTTTGAGAGTTATCACAGCCAGTTATCACGTTTTGTAAAACAAGGTAGAAAGACAAAAACAGGAAGAGAAGTCTTCCTGGGACAGAACAGAGAATACGCTCGTGATGGATTGCGTCTTTTTTTGTTAAAATTTTTAACTTACAGCTTGTACTGTTTTCCTTGATTTGCAGAAAAAGAAACGCAGACTCCAATAACAGTATTGGAGAAAAACTAGGAAAATTGCAATCACTATGCTAACAGTTTTTTCTAGGATTGCTTTTACGTTTGTTTTAGTTTTTCGCACTAGACGTAAAATTTTAGTACTTATTTTGGAAAAGCACAAATTCAATGTAGAAGATATTGTATTTTGTTTGGCATTTTTGTTCAACGGAAAAAGGAATCGCCTCGGAGTTGTGATTCTGAAAAAAAACTATGTTGTACGTACATCATAGTGCCATCATACTGGTCAAATTCGAAAACCAGTTTATTGGTCAGTACAAATACCGGTTGAAGTCACAAATGTTAGCAGTCAGTCACATATAAAGTTTATGGACCGAATCAGTACCGTAACCTATTGCAACTATATTCTCACCTTGTGCAAAAAGGTCTATCTCAAGGCTTTTGAATCAGGTAATGTATCCTGGGTTTCATACGCAAATCAACTGAAGTTGATTCCCAATCCCAAAAGAGTTCGAGAAACCGAGGAAAACATTCTGCAAATTATAGCTCAAATGATTTTGCCGATGAAATTCAACTCAAGATTAAAGTTTTGAGAGTTATCACAGCCAGTTATCACGTTTTGTAAAACAAATAAGAAAGACAATAACAGGTAGAGAGGTCTTCATGGGACAAAACGGGTAATAAGCTCATGATCGATTGCGTCATTTTGGGTTAAAATTTTTAAGTTACAGCTTGAACTATTATCCATGGTCTACAGAAAAAGAAACACAAACGCTCCGGTATTGCGGAAAAGCTAGGGAAATTGCAGTTTTTGAAATAACCTACTTCATCCCGCATCACTACAAAAAAATTCAAAAATCATCAAACAAATATTTCAAGCTGTAGCTGGCTTCCACTATTTCTTAGAAAAAATTTTAAAACTCGTTCAGGCTCAAAGGGTGTTCGACTTTTAAATTCGAGGCTGGGTTGTTTTGATTCCGGAACACAGCGGAATTTGTAGTTTCCAGACCCAATTTCAACTTTCTTTCCTCCTGTCTTCTTTGATCTTCTTAGGTTCTTATCAGACCTTTTGACGTTCTCATGTTTGTGTTTGAGAATTGCAGCTCAAACGCTCCGGTATTGGGGAAAAGCTAGGGAAATTGCAATTAATATGCTATCATTTTATTTCTTAGGAATTATTCTACGTATGTTTTTTCTATCTGCGGCTTTGATGAGGACGGGCAAACAAAGAAACGATATTCCAGCGTTAAACCCACTGGGGGAAAAACAGTTTTTTGAGGAAAAATACCAAAAAAATGTGGAAGTAAGTGAAAACTATTGTTTGGTGAGGGAAACAAACGTGCAATGCAAGCGACATCAGGATCAAGCAACCAAGCATCAGCGGGTAAGCCACGTGAGCTCGGAATATTTGAACGATTCAAGTTAAAATACGTTTGAGTGTAAAAAATAGGACCATTTTATCTGTGGTGTTCTAAAAATTGATAAACACAAAGTTATCTGGGACTTAGGCCAAAATATGTGTGGTTTTGGGAAACCAACAAAGGCTTGCAGTCGAGGAGTTTGTGCATATTTTTTTCCAATTTTTTTGAAGTTAAAGCAGTGGTACGTCTAATCGTATAGAGAGTAGTTGATGCTTACAGTTCGAACAGTAGCAGCCATATACTTCGACAAAATTCAAAATCTCCAGAATCATATCAAGGATACCGAAAAATATCTTGATAACAGCGAGAAGCTGGGAGTAATGGAGAACATTTAAAAATGTACACAGATGAGATCTGTAAGTTGGGCGAAATCTCCAACACTTGGAAGGATGCATTCAGGGTTACAAAAGTGAAACACAAACTCTCGAAGTAGCGAAATTCTCCATTCTGATGGAAAACAAAAGAGTATTATTTGAAAACAAGAATGACCTGAAAGGCTGAAAAAACGAGAAGGGGAGAAATTAGCATAGGACTTGCTCTGCGAGCGGTTGCAATTGTAGAACTGTCAGAGATCATTATAGGTGCCTTCAAGTTTGAACGCATTTCCGAAGCCTTTTTTATGTCTGCACAATTATGCTATTGGCAAAATTTTCCGAAAAGAACAGGTGCACATGGCAAATAATGTATTTTTGGTCCAAACCCATGGATGGGATAAAAACCATAAAAGTGATTCTACCACTAGTCTTAGATGGGGAACTAAATTCCTATAGATACAGTAGAATCGCTTGGATCATAACATGGCCCCAAGCCCCGAAAACGTCGATAGTTTTTTTGTAACGTCGATTGATTCGGGAGCCAGATTGTTCCCAAGTTCATAAAGACCTTATTAGTAACCAAACTGCAAATCGGGGCATAATTTCTTGAAATCATTTTCTAAGCTCCTAAAACACATAGGGGAGACAAATTAACCAAACAATTGGGACCTTTTTTTGGAGCAAAATTTATCGCACACGTAAAAATAGACGGACGTGTGTGAACGATTGCCCACGTCAACACGTTCGAACGCTTCGCGTCTAAAGGTGCAGGAAGCAACTAAACTTTTTTGGGAGTTTTTAATTAGGATGGGGTATTAAACGGGGAGCTGAAATTGTTAAACAATCCTTTATAATTTTGATAGAGCGTGATGACAACCCGAAGTGCTCAATTTTACTAAAATTAGTTTTTAGTAAGGCAATTAATTCGGTTTATAGAGAAACTAGGCTGAACCACGTTTTTTTGAGCCGCCCGGAGTTGTATAAAAAAACTCATTGCGCCTACTATAAACCGAGTTTTATTTTTACGGAAATTCTATCATTATGTCGGAGGACGGAACACAACAAGGTGATCCAGAGACTCCACCGCTTTTTGCTGAAACGATACACACTCTCGTAAAAAAGCTTGAACCGAAAATGAACGTTTAGTATTTAGATGATGGAAACCTAGCCGACGACTACAAGATAGTGCTCCGAGATCTTACAGAATTCAGAAAAAGACTATGGCTTAAGCTTAAATACAGCAAAGTGTGAGCAATATTATCTAGGACATACCACAAGTACGCAGTACAATACATTTGTATGTCCATTTTAAAAATTATGTTAAAAAAATCAAATCCAAGGATGATCTTGTAATCTTGGCCTCCACTTTGGGCGAATCTTGACGACAAGAACTGCTAAAGGGAAAAATAGCTGAGCTGGAAACTATTTCGGAGTTTATTGATAAGCTGGATGCACATTATGCTTTTTAACTCCTAAATTTAGCTTGCCGAAACTCCTATATTTTTAGCGTACAAGTCCCTGTTTTTTGCAAAATGATCTACTGGAAAAATACGATCGATTATCAATAAAATCTTGATGTAAGGTACCAAGTGTACAAATGAATGATTGCCAATTTTTGCAAGCAGTTCTCCCGGCAGCCAAGTGTGACTTGGGTGTATCTTCCGCTTGCCTCCTAGCCTTACCCGATTTTTTAACCTCAGCAGTAGGAGCCAAAGCTATCTTAAGTGACATTTTTGGTTTGGTGCACGAAGCTTAAGCACATAGTGATGTTTTGGATTTTTGGCTTGACTTAGCAAAATGTGAAGTAGCTCCGGAAATCGGAATCCAAAAAAAACTGGATGGAGCCCATTTTTGATAAAGAAAGTTCTCAAATGGTTTTGAAAATAGAACTTTCAGCCTAATTGTGTGATAAACTTTTAGCAGCCTAGTTTTTTGTAGTCATAAACTTTTAGCCTAAATTTTGTTGTGATAAGATTTTAGCCTAATTGTTGTGATAAACTTATTAAATAGATTTATTATGTTTGATGTTTGTGCCTTTTTGTGGAGCGCCCTCTGAGGGATTTTAGAGACAGGTCTGTCAGGTGGCTTTCTATGGGGAGGTAACAAACTAGAACTGGCTTGAAGAGTCTGGTGGTGCACTACTGAACCCTTCCCTTTGTTTTTTTTCAAATCTCATTATCGCTCGATGGCCCTTCATTCCTGATCCGAATCGATTCAACAGTATCTCGAAGATTTGTTCCGCTGTATCACGCTCCTCCTCTTTCTTTTCTCCTACGCATTTTAGTGCTGTGCCCTCTATATTGCTTAGTATTGCTGTGCAGGCCAGCCTTTCGTCATTCAGGTTGTCCTGTTCTAGATGTAGTCTCATGACATCTACCCTGGTGTCAATGCAGCCATCTGAGTCGGCTTTAAAATCTTTTGATTTCTTGAAGGTCTTTCTGGATTTACCTTTTCCTCTATCACTCGAATCTGTAATCCTTGTTGCAAATGTTTCAAGTTTTCTGTTCATCATTTCTCGGGTACTCATCCACGTCATGGCGTCAGGTGTTACCTTTGTGTGTGTACTCGAGTCCCCCGGTGCATTCGTCGAGTTCGCGGTTCCACCCTTCATAGTAGTCTCGGACCCTATTGCCCCTATGCTCGTTGCAATCCCGGGTAACGGTGTAGACTCCCGTTTCTTCCGTTGCGGTTCTACAAAGTCGACTCTAAATCCCTGTGGTTTGTCTGCCACTAACTTATCTTGTGCTATAGAGATTCTCAAGAGTGCATCCAGTTTGGACTGTATGGAACAAGAACTTTCAGCTTGATCCTTGCACATTGTATCCATTCTGGTCTCTAGATTCCACAACTTCTCATTCATGGTGTCGTACCGTTTTTTTATTTCTTCCATATCCTTGTTGATACGTTTCTCTCACTCTTTGTCGGTAGTCTCTACCTTGTCCGACATCTGCTGTAGCTTTTCTTCCTTGGCCCTTGCTAAGACATATTAATTATCAAGGTTCTCGTTTTTGTTGCGTCTTATTTCCTTTTCCAGCACTTGGCGGTCCTCCTCACTGCACTTCAACTTTTTGTCTATTTCATTTTTGTGTCATTAAGTCTCCCAGCTCTAGTGAAGTTGTTTTCGTTTCATCAGCTCGTTTATCTTCGCTAGCTGCTGCTTCTTGCGTGACTTCTTCCTTATCCTTCCTGGTTTCCGTCGTTATCGTGGAAACAATCCCAAAGGTTTTGCTTTTCTCGGTCACTGCCGTTATCTCCTCCTTCTCTCTTGGCTTCATTCCGACCATCGCAGCAATCCTCTCGGTGAATGACATTCTCTTCGTTTGTGAGTCGTCTTTTATCGTCTCCGGTGTGTTGGTCGCTTCTCCTCCATTGCCTATTGGTGAAAACTCTATGGTGTTCTTTTCCTGTTCTTCTGTATTTGGCATCGGTGTTGACTCTGTTTCCCTCCGTTCCATTCCATCTGGTTTTTCTATTTCAGTCTCTTTTGCTGGTATGCTTTGTTCTTCCATGGTTTTTTCTTTCGCCTTCTGTTCCTTGTTGCTTGTGCTGACCATACTCTTTATTTTCTTTATCAACAATTGTAATATTTACAAGTTCCTATTGTAAAATCTGATTGAAATTATAACAAGATTCCCTAATGTTTAAAAAATTAAAACCAGTCGAATTAGTCTAAATCAGTTTTGAGTCTAAATCAGTTTCAGGCCTTGGGACCCTTTGTTCTAGTTTTGGGATGCTTGAGTACTGTCCCAGGATTTCTTGGTACTCTCCTAGGACCCTTCGCTCAAGTGTTGGGATACTTCGATGTGGTCTTGATACACTTTGGTACGGTCCTAGTACGGTTCTAGTAGTTTTATGTACCCTTTAGGACACTTCGTTACTGTCCCAGGACTTTTTTAAACTCCATAGGACCCTTCGCTTAGGTGTTGGTACACTTCGTTGCTGTCCCAGGACTTCTCTGATTTCTCCTAGGACCCTTCGCTCAAGTGTTGATACACTTTTTTGCCGTCCCAGAACTTTTCTGAACTCTCATAGGACCCTTCGCTCAAGTGTTGGAACTCTTCGATCACTGTCCCAAGACCCAAGTGTTAGGACACTTAGATCACTATCCCAAGACTGAGTGTTGGGACAGTTAGATCACTATCCCAAGACTGAGTGTTGGGACAGTTAGATCACCATCCCAAGACTGAGTGTTGGGTCACTTGGATCACTATCCCAAGACTGCCGACAAGACTCCTGTACTTTCTCCCACCTTGTAGCTCAAGTGTTTCTTCGCCTGATTGAACGTTTCCCCGTTACCTATGTCGATTTTTGGGATACCTGATCCACTATCCCAGTACCAACTCTGGAGCTCTAGTATAAATAATAATCCCCAAAACCCAAATCCGTTCACCAAAATATTCTTTAGTAAGTACCCTAAAATTGCTTTTCCTGTTTCAATCCGATGCAAGTCGAAAAACAACTTGTTTGTTAGTCTATAATTTGAGCCGAATCGTTAAAGTTCTCTGAAATCTGCCACAAAAACATATAAATTTTGAGAATTACCAAAAACCAGAAAGATAAGTATACCTAAAAATCATAGGCGACCTATGCCGTCTTCTGTGAAAAATGTCTGGTACCTGACTGTCACGTGTTTTTCCTCCCCCCTACTACCGATCTTATGGGGTATTCTCCTTTTGGGGTCCAGTAATTGTCAATTTTCGTTTCCCCCACCCGACCCGACCAGATTACCTACCTTAAATTTAGATCTGCTTGCGTTGCATATCTTGTTCTGAGTCTATAGATGGATCGTTCTAGACTCTGGGTCTACTAATGTAACTAAATTGACGAAATCGATTGTATAGTTACTAAAATGTGTCCCACCTTTTTTTACAATTTTGAACCGCCAACCTCTTTCAAACCTCCCCCTATCTAGCTCCCCACTTAAGCCGAAAATTAACCTTAAGAGCAATGGGTGCTAAACATCTCGAAAGAAAATCCGTAGAACCTGTTTTCAAGCTCTGCTCAAGTAAAACCGTTTCCTCAAAACAGTGGTTATCTGCTTATTCAATTTTACACTTATACCCTATAATGTAAAGTGGATTTTATCGATACTCGGTTGACCAAGCAGAACACCTCTGTGTACCTTCCTCTATTTGCTCTGTTCTGCTTTGGTCACACTGCTGGCTGGTCACCTGTTGGTTGGTCACACATTCCCCTGGACTGGTCACCTGTTCCAATCAAGTCTCCCAGTGGTCAAGTCTACCAGTTTTCCACTTTCCCACTTCGCTGGTCACCTGTTCCAGTCAATTCTCACAGTGGTCCGCTGATGTCAAAAGCTATCTGAAAACCTTACGACGCCCCACACTTGGGCACCTGTACAACGTTGCTGATTTGCCTAAAATACGCAAATGCCGTTAAAAACAGGGTCGGAACCTTATGTATAGTTACTTTTTATTAGACAGTGGACCTTTGATGCATTTCAGATGGATCAACCTAAAAATTCTCCCTAGTTCAACATAACAAAAAAAACACCCTCAAGAAAACTAAATTAGGTACACACATACCAACACGACCTCTAGAATTGAGAAAATAAATCATAAAGCAACTCTAGAATTGATTGGGTATTAAGTTTAACTTGAGAAGTTTGAAATAAGCAAGTTTTAACTCAAGAAACAAATTTTTGGGCTGGACCATTGGGCAGTTTCAGCTGTCCACCTTTCCACCGAAGGTTCACTCTGGTCCTCTCTAATTTATATCTTCTCCACTCGCGATCACTTTCCGTCTTCTGCCAAGAATAGGACAGCTCTAATCTCGTTCGAATTCTGTTATGGAAAATTCCCGCTGCTATTTTTGACTACTTTCCCGCGCTTATAGTTCGATTCTTCTGATCTTTTTTTTTCAGGTATTTTTAGTTGTTGCGAGAAACTTGAGCATGACATGCTCAATTTGAATTTTTTGAAAATTGCATTTCACCCCAAAATCAAGACTTAACGTTTTCTCAAGGTCAAACTTCCAAATATGACCGACTGGCACAAATATTTCTAGTCCAGTTTTCTTTGAAAAAATTACACATCAGTCTTATAAGATTTCTCTTTACGTTTCGGTCCTCGTAGAAATCGATTTTGCTTTGTATCATGTTGATATACTCATATATAGATGCGCTTTTGTTCCTTCAGTATGTTCTTTTTTTTCTTATTTTAATGGGTAATCAAAAGGTCAAAAGTATCATAGTAACCGAGGTTAAAGTCAGGAATCCCTTCATCACATATTTCAGTCAGCATTTGGTTTTTACTACACCAATTTTCAATTGTCGTAGTGGCATAGTTCATTTCTGTTTGAGTTGTTGCTATAACCTTAAAGTCATCAGTATGTCCAAAAGAGTCAACTAGATTCAAGTTATCTGGTAAGTCGTTTATATATAGTATGAAAAGTAATGGTCCCAATAGAGAACCTTGAGGGACACCACTTGTTACGTAACATATCTTAGACTTTAATTTGTTTATTCGCACATACTGTTTTCGAAGAAATAATTAAGAGGCTATTAGTTGAATTGCTTTTCCTCCAAAACCATAACACTTCAATTTATGCAATAAAAGTTGAAGCGGAAAGCAGTCAAAAACTTTTTCAAAATCTAGATAGAGCGCTGTTATATTTTTGGTCGTTTGGTCATCATAATTTAGACATACTTGATGTAAGTAAGCAAGGAGTTGGGTAATTGCTGAACGTTTTTTACAAAAACCATATTGAGAGTTATGAAGTTGATGTCGCACTCTTTCATAAATGTAGTCAAATAACCCCTTTTCGAAAAATTTTGAGATGCAGCATAGTAAACTTATCGGTCTGTATCTTTTAATATCGCATTTGTTACCATCTTTGAAGATTGGGACAACTTCACTTAACTTCCACGTTTCTGGGAATATACTTTTGTTCAAAAAAGTTTGAAAAATTAGGAGGACTGATTTTGATACTGTTTTCGCTAAGTTTGTGTAGACAAGATTTCCCAAATTATCTGGACCTGTTGCTTTATT